CCCTTCTGCATTCAAACATGTTATTTCTATAGTCTCTAGGAAGAGCCGTAGTCAAAAATGATGACTCCACAACAGAGAAAGATAAGCTGGAATCAATCATCAATGTGCAACATGAGTGTCGCAGACAATTTCAAAGTGATCCACCATGTAAGACAAACATACTTTGATATCAACAGTATATAAAAGATGAAACATTCACTTTTATTTTCATTGTCTTCTGATGTTCTGGATCAGAGTGGACTTTGCCCATTCCAAACATCCTTTCTCCTGGAATTGTCAATACCATCAAACAATGTGTTACACTTTGAAATTGTCTGAGAAACTCATATTGCACAGTGACGAATGATTTTGACTTTGCTAACTGTAAAACACAAAACACCTCTGCTGTTGTGGAGTCACCATTTTAGTTTACAGCACCTCCTACAGGTAGTGGAACAATGAGACGTTTCAATGCAGATAGATGAAACTTGGACATTTACTCTATTAATTGGTTTATGTTGCATACTTTTCAAGTAATAATTAATGTAATTATAGTAATTTAAAATGGTAGTAATAATTAAAACTGTTTAAATTATGATTATTAACAATCTAGTATTAATATAGTCTAATGTTTAATTTTGTTTGCTAAAGAATAAAGTCATTTCACAGTCAAAATAATAAGCAAAATTAAACTAATGTACTCGTTGCGACATATGACACAAAAAAGACAAAACTGTGGTAAGAATTAACAACAATGTGGACTATCAGAACTTTTTAAAGGTCTTTTTCGGCACGTGGAAAAATTTTAGAATAAGAAATGCTGTTCGGAATTATATTTGTGATAAATTAACTCTGTGTTAATGTACCATCGGCAATAATGGCAATCAGAAGTAGACTACAGATCTGCTCAGACTGCTGTCAAAATTTTACTATTGAAATTACTATGTTTAGCTTATTTAACCCTTAACTATGATCGCTCTTTATCTGTTATACTTATGTCACCGAACAGTCTCGCAGACTGATCATCATTTTATAATAAATATGGCAAACAAGTGGTTATTCTTGGGACCGAGGTCTCAGCTGTATAATGGACAGGAAAGAACATCAAACTCAATCTTTTCAACCGTTTGCACAGTTCTGGATATGGTATGAGAATGTTCATTGTCACGAAGCAATAAACTTTTCTCTGAAACATGCAGCTGCTTCCATACTGTTCCAACATTCTTTGGTGCATTTCAATAGGTTTCATGCTCTCCACCCTCAAAAAGCAGATTGTAAGGAACCAAGTCTGAGCATTAATTTTATTTACTTTTATTTTTGCTTTTTATTATATTTTGTTTGGGGCTTATGTTTTGTTAGGACGAAGGTTTCCTCACCATTCACCTTAGAAACTTAAAAATAGAAGAGAAACCAACTCACCGACGAGAGAAAAGCGCCATAGAAAAAAAACTCACGCACACTTGAGATCCCAAGCGGAAAAAAGCAAGTCCACACCGAGAAAAAGGGGAGAAGACCCCACAAGCACAACTTAAATTCGCTACACCTTAAAAGAATAAAACATCCCGAAAATTGTCAAAAAGAATAATGTAAAAGGTTAGCGAGTATTGTCGGAAAATAGGCTGCCAAACAAATAGAAAAGTTTATTGTTAGCGAATAAGTATGTAAATGAGGGGAGTGATCTCAGTCAGAATTGTGACGTCACCTCACATTATAAAAACCGAACGTCAAGTGAAGACGGACAAGGTGAACTCCAGTTAGCAACAAGCTTGGTGAGCTTCGTAGCAGTAAACGAGTGAGGTGACGATTAGGATCTTTAATTCATAAGAATTATTGTATATAAGTTAAGTCTTTGAATTTTGTCGAATTCCAAAGGGGAATAGATTTAAGTTAGAAACTAGATTGATTTGAGTTTTGTCGGGTTGATTCTTATTGATTTTCATTGAATAAATTGTTGTTTGATTTTTACTAAATTTTGTATATAGTTTATTATTAGAAGTATTTATTAAATATTTGATTTTGTTATTGACAAACTTGGTCATTATTTAATTTTGGTGCACGCTAAAAGTCCAGGCCTGGCACACTAACGCGAATCCGCGTAAAGTACCCGTTAGGGAACGGCTATTTCCGGCACACAGTCGTGTCGATAATCGTTGGAAAAGTCGGAAAAATAATATAGTACTTTACAAGATTACAAAACTCTTCCTAAAACATGCATTGATGATTGTAGCATCCATTTTTTCAAGGAAACAGTTGAAATGACAATGATGCTATTGCATGACCAACGCCTTAATGGATTTGCCTGACATGTTCATATGTTCACCGAATGGTGTCAACAAATGTAAAAATTTTCATATCTATACAATTGAAAGTTAAGACATATTCTGTAAAATTTATATGTGTTCTATATAAATTGCAGAAAAAAGTATTTGGCTTGATCAAAATCAAAACTGTGCAAGTCAAAGGACTGATGTATATCAGTGACTACCAGACTTTTCTCCCACAACTCCATTTGATCATTAACTTTTGTAACCCCGACATTAAATCTATACTTAATTTATTCATTTATTTTTCCTAAACAGCAATATGCATTATAAGTTTAATTATTCTCATTGTGAACTAAAACATATTTTACAAAAACTTGTCACTTATTATTAACTGTATCTTTCAGCTGTAAATTAGATTATATTGAATGAAAAATTTTAAAATATTTACCAGCATTTTATGTTGGGATTTTGTTGGTTGTGTTAGATATTAGATCTGCCATAAACTACAGCTTTGCGAGAGCAAAACACTAGCAAATGTGTGCTAGCACACCTAATGACATCAAACGCCTCACCCCTTTCTTTGTAACCGCTTGGTTATCCCTTTGCTAGCACAGTGATATAAGCGTACACTTGCTGTTGACAGAATTCAATAGACAGAGCAGTCATGCTAGCAAGAGAGAGCAGGAAACACACCCAATGTCATTTTACAGCCAAGAACTGAACAAAGCACATGCCGACTGTGTTGGAACAAACCTAATATTTGAAAATACTTGCAAATATTTTTATACATTTATTTTGTTTCATCACAATTTCTACAAAAACCAAACAAATAAATAATTAATCCAAACCATGAATTTAAAACCCAGCTTGTCCGGGTGTGGTGCAACACTACTCGCTAATCTCCCATGATGAAGAACTTTTACGCAAGCAAACACTGTGTAGATTGCGGCTGCTTCATGCCCGCGTAGCTTACCTAACAAAAATGGCTCATAGTCTTGGGGGAAAGAAGTCAAGCTTTGGAGCGCAACCGAGTGTACTGAGGATGCTCCCACTTCCTCTAGTTTGCAGTGGCTCTTAGAAAACTTATAGTGTATGTAATTATGTTCTTATCAGACAAACATCTTTTGCTTTGGAGAAAAAAACTGTATTCTGAGAGTGAAGATATTTACAAAAGAGAAATAATGAAACAATTCATTTAAATCAGTTCGTTTAATTATGTACAGATGGCATTCCACCAACAAGAAAACTGTTGGTGAAGTTATAAAAAATAAAACTTTATGTGAGTAGAATGTTATTAATCAATTGATACTCTCACTTGAAACAAAATTCATTGCATTAGGTTTGAATTCTTTATTAGAAATCGCTTTTGAAATTTTTAAAATATTCCTAGCAGAGCGACAATGCTTACTAAAAGAATTTAGAATTTATGCAACCCCACTTAGGGTCATAACATGTTTTGGAACCACTGACATATATTACTCAATCATAAAATTGATAACTATGTGTAGAAAAGTGATTACTAAATACTGAAATTTCAATTCACATAAACAAGATTGTACATAAAATAAATACACCCTTATGCACCAAGAAGAAAGCATTGGAATCAAACAAAACTTTATTAGTGTGAATGTAACAATGTGTGCAGGATTTCCTGAACATAACACTATCAGGAATGTCCCTTGTGCTACTACAGTATTAAGTATGACTGACCATCATACAAGATGACTCTCCAGAGTGGCATGTCAGCACTGAGGGTATTGTGCTGCTCAATAGAAATGGTGGAATTGAAAACACTCATCAGCAATTCTGATTCCGTTTGGGTGTCTGTTCCCAAAGAGAACCAGATTCGCTGCTAAAGACAATAAGTTGCCAGTCTGTAGCAGTTTATGCTTCTATGTCATGGCACCACTGCAAATGAAGCTGATGATGCTAGAGTACTAAAGGCAGGATGCATAGCAGTTGCCATGCATGCAAATTTGTCTCTACTAGTCATATGACAATGGTACAAGAAATGATAAGGTTCTGTAGCAGGTCTTTTCACCTAGCTCTTGATGGTAGACAAAGTTGTTGTCGCAACTGTTCATACTTGTCTCAAAGTTAGACAATCATTTCTCCTGGTAGTCTGTTAGAGTCTGCCTCCTATGCAAGTTTGCCCTCATATATCCACACAAAGAACAATTCACAGTTAGGTTAATCATGAATTGTGAATAATGTGACAAAATGCCATCCTGCTTCCTTCAACCCAATTACGCAGCCTTTCTCACACCCCATTGACTGTGTATGTGCCTTTGACTATGTCATACAGGCATGCTTAGTGTTCAAACACATCCAAACAACAAGTACACTTAAAAATTCTGTACACAACAAACTTTTGCAAGCCTTTTTATAGATATTGGAGTGGCAATTTTAAGGCACTCTAGAGCATTACCTGGCATGCAATCAGACAACTGTAATCTTTTATATAGCTGTCAGCTGTATGGCAAATTTTTCATTAATTAGATCATTCTACCTGGGAGCATACCTGTGTTTGTCAACGACTATAATACAATTAACAATAAAGTTAAAGTATGTTTTTATAAAAAATAATAAATTCTAAACTGCTACATTGTTTATTCAAGAAATTGTCTCCTTTTAGATTTTTTATTACTTGAAAGATCTTAAAGAAAGGCTGAAAATAGCTCGAAGAGATGTCGTAATAGTTTTAGATTTAAGTGAAAATAAAGTCGGAGAATATGTTTAACACAGAAAACATCTTACCTTATTTTTCTGAATCAAATCTATGCAATTATCTATAGCATTAGTTGCAACTGTTAGCTGTTTGTGAATATCATCATACATTGAATAATTGCATTCTTCTTTTAAAAGAGAGAGCGCATTTTGAGATTTGAGACGGATGTCCGTTAACATGGTTTTCAAAATAAAAGTGTCTGCCGAGGTTGACATTTCTTATTTTTAACTGAAAAATACAATTTTAAAATCATTAGAATAGCTTTTAACTAAAAATTGTTTAATAAATATCACACGTTGCACTATACATTCTGAAAATGTCTTAATTAATAATAATTAAATATGCTTTATCATAAAAAAAAGTAAAAATTATTCAAATGTTTCCAAGCTCAATGCTCATCTTGAGTGTATCTCTCTCTCTCTTTCTCTCATACATTTGAACAAACTATAAACTACAAACTGCTGTAAAAACTGTCAATAATCATTTTTGTTTTAATCGATTTAAGAAAAATTATTATATGAATTAAATATAATTTAATTTAACAATAAATTTTCAAGTTTTAAGATTAAAAATATGGCAAGGTGCTGAATGAGACTGATGGCCTGCATCACATTTTAACTACCGTAATGTGTTTATTAGACAGGAAATCACTCTAGGACGTTAAAAATTATCATTCTTTGACTATCTCATGAAACTCCTCTGATAGTAACACGGCTACAGTTGTCAACCTGATGTGATTTCAATCTATGGAGTTTATTTAATCCTATTAAATTTTTTTTATTTTAATGTAAATAGACGTACAATATTAAAATTTTTCTTAATTTATTTCGAAAGCGGGTGCGGAATATCATATTTCTAACTCAATGCTTATTTTATGTCCTATCGAAACGTATACCATGCCAAAGATAGACTTAAAGATACTGGAATAATTTAGTTTAACGTTGCCTTTCCTAACAATAAAATATACTTATTTGTCGATACTTAGATGGTTATTAAAGATTATTAAATATTTAGCCGGTTATTAAAGTAATTTGAATTCTATAATTAATTTAAACCAATTATAATTATGGAAAAACTGAAAAAAATGACGATTTACCTTTAATTCGATTGTCGGAATTTAAATAGTAGATAATTACATTTAACTATGATTTATCATCAACTTCGACATTTAAACAAATAGCCAGAAATGAAAAGGGATACAATAACAAAATAAACCTATATTGGTATCCATTCTGTAAACATTTCAATATTTATTTATAAAAATGAAATTAACTTCTACAACTATTTACAGAGAACAGAAAACAAAATAAGGTTTTCTTTTTAGATTTTATAATTAAGCAATTTGTACTATAACAAATAATGATAATAAATTTGTATAATTTATCTAGACGACAAATTGGTATTTTATTGTTGGCCGACAAGCTTGATAAATTTAAGGCGCTTAGAGGGTAAAATCTTATCTAAATTAAAGATGTAACAAAATTTAAATAAAAAATAATCTAATATTCTATCCTACATCTGTACATTGCCAGCTCTATGCAAGTGCTTTTTAATTGGTGTTGGGTTTTTGTTTGTCATTACGTTTTTGTAACATTATCAATTTTACTAAATGGCCGACGGGTTTTATTTCATTACAATAAGCAAAACTGCCCTGTAATATAAAAGCAAAATTAGGAAAATTCTCATTTTATAGTGGAACAAAATCTCATACATTACAGTTGGAAATGGAAAATATTTTATCTCTGCCGGGCATCAATAATATCCCTAAAGCTTTTAGATTCCTATATGAGCAAAAAACCAAAAAACCACAAATCAAAGAATGGCCTTTTATGTAATAGTTTGATGAGATATGGCAATGTAATACAGTGGTGCCTCGTATAACGTACGCCTCGAATAACGGACGCTGCGAACAACGGACTTTCTGTTTGGCCGTTACGTGACTCGAGCAACGGACTGGCTTCGAACAACGGACTTTCTGTTTGGCCGTTACGTGACTCGAGCAACGGACTGGCTTCGAACAACGGACTTTCTGCGAACAAGTGTGAATGATGTTTCCACTCGTTTGCCGTTGCCAATGACAATCTGCTATTTTTATAATATATTAGTATTATTAGAATATATTATTAGTATATCTGAAGTACAGAGCTCGCGCTGGGATTCAGCTTGCTCTCTTGTTTATTACGTGCAGTACATCACCTCAGTGCAGGGGTGTATTTACATTTATTCAAGTGTTATGCAAATCATGGCTTCTAAAAAAACTGAAAAGTGATTTCAATTGAAACAAAGCAAGACATCATCAGAAGGAGTGAAAGTTGACAAAAATTTCCTTGTCAAATGGGGAGAGGTTAAGGAGTTTACCAACACTCGTTATCCAAACAGAGCTGAGGCCAACAGGATCAATGATCTCTACAATGACACCCTTGCCGTCATTTCTGACAAGTATTGAAGAGAGAGAAACACACCACCTTGGACATGATTTTCAAGAAGCCAGCTGTCAGAAAACAAATGATGTGGGACAAGAAGAGTTGACTCTGCAAGCTCCGGTAGCCTCTTCTATATCTGACTCCCGATTAAAAAACAATAAAAAGAGACCTGCTGCAATGTGTAAAAAGTCTGTATCTGTATGAATGTATGAAGAAAGTGTTCCTCCACCTCCTCACAACATCTGACTACCTGACATAATTGGTGACTGCTCCATTTTCATTTTTTTCTGGTACGGTTATTTTATGCTGAGGAACGAATTATATGTTTTAACATGTATTTCTATGGGAAAATGTGTTTCGTATAACGGACTTTTCACTTAACGGACGTGCACCTGGAACGGATTAAGTACGTTATACGAGGCACCACTGTATATGGATGATCTGATAAGAGGAATGTCACCCGGGAAGACTAGTCCCATTTAACATGTGAAGAAAACCTGTGAACCTCACGTGGTTGACCTGTTGGCAAGATGTAAATCAACCAGTGCTCGGAGATAATGCATTTACAGAGAAACATGATTATGTGATATTTAATAGATACCGCTTGGGCTACCTATAGATAGAATACATTGAGGAAACAGACTGAATGAACAATGAAAGTACTTGAAGCTCCTAGAATCATACACAACACTGCTCCACAGTCAGGACGTTAAGTGTAGTATTTGCATACTTACTATGCTTGAAAGAACAGTGTATAACATTTAGCATTTGTAAAATAAAAATCGACAACCAGAAAGAATTGTATACACTCAGCTCAGTTTCGAGTTTGTTTTGTTAATTTATGGCAATGCAACATTTGTGTGATCTGCCTAGGTGGATGATTTCTAGGAGGTCTTTTTAAAGGTAACTGACCCCTATTCGGGCATTACAGACGTGGAGAAAACCCGGAAAATTCCATGTAGCCAGTCCATCCAGACAAGGCATGAACCCATGACAAAACTCCCAGTATTCAGGGAACGGAACCACTAGGCCACTTGTGGACCCCCCTCAGTTTCAAGGATTTGCTCAAGAGATTTATGCAAGTCTATGCCTACCGAGATATAATCTTGTATAAATATGAATGCTTATTCAATTTCTGGTTTGTTAGATTTTTGGATTTTGATCCAACTTCTACATCCATCTTAATCTATCCTTTGCACACATCCAATTTCCACACAGACTGTAATCACAGATCATAAAGACTATTTAATTTAGGATCTATAAAGTGTTATAAATGAATTTGTACGTCAAAAGCATCTTTATTATTTTACTGTATACAAATTTTATATATTGTATAGGTAACCACTTTTTTTCGTACTTTTCGCATAGAAGTAGCACTTTCTAGACAATAAGATTGGTTACATAAAACTCGTCTTACAATCCTTTTGTGGATAAATAGTAAAAGAATAACTACATTATACCCTCCAGGTTGATTATGTGCAACTTTGTTCGGTTGCAATTTGAAAAAATTGAAGAAGACCTATAAATTCCCACTGCCATTTGTCCATCTTTCCTTAATCTGGTGAATGGAGTTAAAGAGTTAAATAGATAACAGAGGAGACCAGATATGGAAACCTTAGAAGCAGGAGGACCTGATTAATTATACACAAACTTCTACTAAAAACTGGGAAGTCACATTATTTCAATTCAAAAATTTTCCCCAAAAATTGTTGGATAATGACCTGCACGATTCTATTGTTAAGAGAAAAGTATAATGCATAGAGGCAAGACACTACTAATTTGAGATGGAGAGCATATATTTTAAACAATATAAATTAAAAGTATGATTAAAAATTGCAGTCCAGCATTGTGACAAAGTCACAATAAATATTTGCTTGTTGATATTTTTTCCTTTGACTACATTAGATAAAGAAAAACTTGCATCACCATTGCTTATAGCAGGGGTGGCCAACAAGTCGATTGTGATCGACCGGTTGATTGCAAAGTGAATTTCGGTTCATCGCTCGCAATGTCTTGACTTAATGTGTTACACTTGTAACCGAACGCAATGCGCAAACGCAACTGTAGTGATATCGGACCTCACGTCCTCCCTCAAATGTGGTTTTATCAGTCCATGTGCAATCCATTTGCGTACAGTTATAAAAGGGGAATAAGAAATGTAGACAAATGGTTGTAAAACCAAAAAAAAATGTCTTGACTTAACGTGTTACACTTGTAACCGAACGCAATGCGCAAACGCAACTGTAGTGATATCGGACCTCACGTCCTCCCTCAGATGTGGTTTTATCAGTCCATGTGCAATCCATTTGCGTACAGTTATAAAAGGGGAATAAGAAATGTAGACAAATGGTTGTAAAACCAAAAAAAAAAAAAAAAAAGAAAGGTGGGAAGAGGGACAGAGAGAGTAGGTCAAGACACGATACAGAGGAGGAGTAAAGAGCTGCGTAGAACACAAACACACCACAGACGAAGTCAATCCATCACCGAAACTCCTCTCATCCAAGCCCTAATTTACATCAGAGCCACAAAAATCTCGACACTATAATATGCAAATACAGAGAAACACCGTGGGTTCTTCGAAATCCCTTGTTTCGTCGGAAGACGAAATATCGGCACAAGATCGGTTCTTACACAGACGATCCACAGAAAAGTGGCTAAATTTAAACCGGGGAAACAGCACTAAGAGTGAAACTGGAAAAAAATTAAAACTGAAACTAAGCAGGAGCTTCTGTTTTCATCCATAGAATATAAGAACTTGAACAAATACATAAATAATATACCTATAATAGCATATCTTCATCACGTAATGATAAAGTATTAGCGATTACAGCCCGGCACACGTATTTGTAAAATCTAAGTGACTCGTACAACATGGAATTCATATAAAACGGAATTATCAACAGTGTTATAGGGGGGTCGACTTTGTACGAGTACACTACCGTCATTTCGATTCCATGTTTGAAATTGTAAGCTCTAATACTTTACCGCTAATATTTCTGCCTAAATGGGTTAAATGTACGTAGAGTGTATTTAATGACGTACAAGTAACGGATCAAAATCTGGAATGGCAAAGACATTATCGATAGCGCACGTGTTAAATAATAACGCTTCCTATCAAAGATGGCGTCGAAATGACGGTAAGCATTTAGTACTTCTTGTATGGTATTTTTTAAATCTTTTATATATACAGATCTAGTATAAATTATAGAAGAAAGAGAATTAAAAGGGAACTTACTTAAAGCTGTTTAACTAGTTCTAAATTACTACGTGTCAAATACAAGAAACTATTACAAATTTTCAAAATATCGACAAGAGACATACAAATGTCACAATGCTTACTGTCTACCATTTTGTTTTAACTTCGCGCTTTGTAGGGAAATTTCCCTTTCGTTTTCGTTTTTTTTTTTTTTTTTTTTACTCACCGATACAAATTAAAAATAATAACTTTTATTCAATTTTAATTTTAATGTAAATATATTCGATTATTAAGTATTGACAAAATCTATTATATTTATAACAGATATAGATTTACAAAAAAAAAAATGAATTTAATTCCTGCATTGTAGGGAAATTCTCTCGACCTGTGAAAGAAATAAGGTTTGAGCGTATATAAAATTTACTTTTAATATATTTAAAAGTATTTTTTATAAAGTAAATTATTACGATTATAAAATCAAATATAATATTTTTGAAAAGTATTTATTTGTAACTTCGATTTCGAAACTCCGTCAGGGGGATAACGATCGCCATTTTTAAATTGTTAGAAGTGTGTCCGATTTCAGTTGCAGTTATCAGTTAAAGTCGATCATGCCTACTTTCGTTATAAGTACTAATTTACCTAAAGACAAAATACCCGCCGACTTTCTTAAAGTAGCGGCCGACACTTTGGCTAAAACGTTGGGTAAACCGTTATCGGTAAGTACACCAGAGTAATTCCTTAAGACTGTGTGTATATATGGGGGGAGGCATTGAAACAAATTCCCGGGAAATGTAATAAAAGACAGCGGTGCGCATTGTTTTTCGATGTACAGTCGACCCCCCCATAACACTGTTGATTATTACGTTTTATATGAATTCCATGTTGTACGAGTCACTTAGATTTTATATGAATTCCATGTTGTACAAGTCACTTAGATTTTACACCCCGTGTGTCGGGCTGTGAACGGCTCACGTATTTGTAAAATCTAAGTGACTCGTACAACATGGAATTCATATAAAACGTAATAATCAACAGTGTTATAGGGGGGTCGACTGTATGTTCCATTTTCCATGCCGCCACCTTTCGGGGGCGGAGTGTAAGATTGCAGGTGTGAATGACACTGTCCCAATGGTGTCATTCACACCAGGGACCATTGGCATTCGTGCATACTGCCATGGTAGTATGCACAAATGCCAATTGAGTCTGTGTTATTTACTTACTTGTGTAAATTACTTTAAAAAGTGAAAAATAATTATATCATTTGATTTCATGATATTTTGTATATCTTAAAAATAATTAATATTGCCCGGGGATTTTGTGGCATCCCGGGAAACAGTTTACTTTTATCCCGGAATCCCGGGACAAGCAAAAGACTGGGAAATGAGAAACCCTAATCAAAATATATATATAAATTATTCCTAGAAGAATTTTTATTTTTTTGAACGAGTGGAATTTGTTTAAAAATTGAAATGAGTAGTCTGCATGCAACACCAGCTGATGTTGCGTGACAACTGCACTCATCGTGATGAAAGCTTGCTTAGATTTACTTTGTTTTAGAATTTTCTCTGCTGATATATGGATATACTTAAAGTCAGAGCTATTATTTGGTCATCACGTTTTACTATAGTTCTATTACTACACACTTTTTACCATAGCATAGTTATTTTCTTCAGAAACTGAAGTCAATGCTTTCCCACAAGACAGTTGTCTTTGATTACCTTTCTTGCATCTCACTAAAACAATTAATCCATTCACAAAGAATAGAGTAAATCTTCATTTTTGAGCAGTCTCCATAAGCATCTGTGATAGCTTTAGTTAATAATATCAGATTTTTCTTCCAACCCAGTTTATCTAAGAATTTAATATTAGCAGGGACTTCAAAGTTACCAAATCCATGTTTGTAGATGCAAAGGCAATTTTAAACTTATGGTATATAACACATCTAAGTATCATACAATGCTGTTAACTAATGCGACTTTTTGCTGATAAAGCAAAAAGTCACATTAGTTAATTATAACTATAGCATTCTGTTTATAAATAACAATCACTTTCTGGGAACTTTTTGAATGTCCCTCGTATAAGCAAATTACTTAAAGATAAAGTGAAGATCTTAGTGAAGTTCTTTCCCAAACTCTGTCTTGTTGAGTTGGTTTCCGTGTGTATCACGATTCGATTTAGTGATCCACACTCAAATTGATAATATTTACAGATTCTATATGCAGAAAGTGAAAGTAAAAGTTCAAAAACATAATATATATACAGGATAACAATGCATGATGACTCATGTACTAGATTGGTTTCAGGGAACTGTTAAACTTTGGAGGGGCTCAGTCAGCTTGTGGAGTTGGCTCAACTGCACGGTCAGCCCAGTCTCCACACTAACCCGTCCGAGATGCTTACCAGAGGAGAATACTATCTCTATGCTCAGCGGGCTTCCTAAGAGCCTGAAACTACCGTGTACCAGTCTCTTACCCTTCTCTCTTTCCTCTCCCATTTGCCTTGCAATTTAAGAGTTTTTTGGACGGGGACTTCTCACCATTCGCAACCCTTTCTTGCCCGAACAGCTTATACTCGGGTCCGCCATCATCCGATGAGAGTGAAGCTTACGTAAACATCCGCCATTTGTTTACATTTAGTTGTTTACCGTATGGCAAATGGTCTATTGTCTGACCACAGGTGGGTCCATTTGACAAAGTCGGCGCTTCCTTTGTTTTCCCTCTGTTTACAAGTCAACACCTTACAAGTGGTATGTTACCCAATCACACATGGGTTCAATTGACAAAGTCGCGCTTCTTTTGTTCCCTCTCTGCTGAAAGGTCAATACTTTACAGGTAACTTCTACCATAATTCAATTGGTGGAATTATAATTTAAATATTTGAACTTTTTGATATTCGAAAGTGGATCCAGAATATAGGCTCAATTAATTCAAACGTTTGAATCAATTAAGAAGTCTTGCATTTGACAGGCATTTATGCAATACTTTGGAGACTATCCAGTGACGATTGAAGTTTTAAGTCAATAAATATCAGTTTGAGGCTGAAGTTTTCAATGCGAAAACGTAAACATCTGACGTTCGTGTTTTTTTGCGTTGAGAACTTTTTGGCCGCAACCTCTCTAATGATTGGGCAGATCAAGACCATTGACTTGGGTTAATAACTTTTGGTTTTCTATAGTAACAACAATGATGATAACTCCTGGGAGTCGTAACTGGTTAACATGAACAGTAACATAGTTATTGGATTCATAAAGAATACAAAAAATATGACATTATCTTTTCTGTTGTTTACAATCAAATAAATGTCTAATTTAAATTACTTGATGCTTTTTTTAATGAATAATTTTCTAATTTTAATTGCAAAGACTTTACTTCCCTTTTTAATTCTTTTCAATTTAGTATATTGTTGTCCAAGTGATACCCGACCAGATGATTTCTTGGGGTGGAGGTTCCGATCCCTGCGCCATAGCCTCGGTGATGAGCATCGGCCAACTGGGAGTGCAGGAGAATAAGAAGCATTCTGCCGTTCTCTTTCAACTGGTAGAAAAGTATTTGGGCATAGCAGGAGACAGGTAAACAGCATTTTATAAATTTTATATAGTTTTCTAATTAAACATATAAATATAATTGAAAACTCAACAGATTAAAGTTGTTTATGTCAAATTGCATAAATCTTTGTTGCATTATTTTCAATAAAGTAAAAAACTGATTCTTTAGGTGGCCAAACATTTTTGGCTTGTCTTCAGCCAGCTTCAACTTATAAATGTGATATTGAATGCTCAATATTGTATGTATGTATGTACTCTTTTATCAATTGATCATGTTAAAGACGTTTATCTTGTTACATAAAACTCAAAAATTTTATTGGTATTTATATACAGTGAATACCTGTACTTAGTAGACAATACATTTGGTTTAATAATAAAACTGTTGATGCATATTTACCTCATTTAAGTGGACAATATCTTTCACAAGCTACAGACAAAACTGCCGTATGTTTTCTATTTTCCAGAACCTCTGTTAAGCACAAAATGTATTGTATATTTCCCATGAATATCATTTCAAAAATACCATGGTTATCTTCAGCAGCATCATTCTGTTGGCTTTCTTTGCCTCACACTTGTCAAACAAGATTTTCACTTTCATTTTCAGATTAATATTATGACATTCAAACATTGGTAGATTGTTGATGGGCTTCCTTGCATAACAAAAGGAGGAATTGAGGAAGCAGAAAGAATTCTGTTTCTGTTTTTCCCTTTTTTCAAAGAATGAAACAGCAGAACAGATCAAACAAGTTTTTCCAATTGGCAAACATCCTGCTTGGGAAATGTAGAAAATGTAGTCAGTAATGTCACTTGTCTAACTTGAAATAACTTTAGGACCTGGAATGTGACACAAAACTATCTTTTCTTCTAGTGCCAAATAACTATAGAGCTATTTTTATTCAATAATTAATATAATGTTTGCAATTTTTGACTATTTCTGAATTCTGTTCTTATTACACATTCTTTACAAATAAATCTATATATTAATTACTTAAAACACCACTGTTTTTGTAAAATATATGGAAATTTTTTAATGGTTGCCTTAAGTCGGGGGTCGGCAGGAGCAGCTTGCAAGCCGCATGCGACTCTTTGCATAGACGTTTGCAGCTCTTCGAACATAAATTCCAATTTCATCTCACCTCAAGCAGCCTTATAACTTATGAGTTTGAGATAGAGCCAACGAACAAACTTTGACTCATATGGCTTACTCTCTACCACTCTTTAGCCCATCTGCATATGACCACACTTGCATTGATCAATATGAGTTGCATGCAAGTGGTAGCATTTGAAGCATATCTTTATCTTATTGAATGCGTGTCTATCCGACGTCCATCTGTCTAACATTATGCCTAAAACGACCACTAGAGGTGCCCCTGTTGTGTGTCGTATTTTGCACATTTAAATTAACAATATAAATTATTATTATTATTCTTCATTTGGCCAATAACAATATAAATAATTCAGTATATTTATAATAGGAATTTATTATTGTCATGGAATGCTTGTTACACGCATTAGGGGGCGTCTCTCTGGTACTTTTGTTATCCTGTTTCCATGACAATTTGGCTCTTCTCACTTGACAAACTGCTGACCCCTGCCTTATGTGAACAAAGTCTCCTGTTCTGAGTGTCTGCTAAATCCAGGTTTATTATATACATAGTGTCTCCTAAAGAGTGCAAAGAATCAGATGCATGTAAACAATGCTTGCTTTCATACATTGTCAAGCATGAGCTATGCATTAGTGAATCCCCCTACTCCCCCAAAAAAAAGAAGCTAAATCAGCTCCTATTACAGATGGAACTACAGTTCCAATTGTAAAGTTGTAGAACAAGTCAAAATTAGTACATTCCAGATTTTTTCAATTAATAAAGGATAGAGGGTGAGATCGTGTACTCCCAAAAATATAAAGGGTTGTTTAAGTTTAGCTTCCCTGTAGTGCTAAGCTGCTTTGTAAGTGTTTACCTGTCACATTTTAAATAGTTTGTGATAAAGCAGTTAGTGAAAAATACATTTTGGGTTCATTAAAGAATTCACATGACTAAAAGGAAGCCATAATTTGGAACTTAGCATTTTATTCACCCAGAGGGGAAAAGAAATGCTAACACAAAACAAACCAAAACAAAAATTTTCAGATCACAAACATGCTTTTAAACAAAAAAGTCGCTATATATTTTACATCAAAATACATAAACACTTTCCTTTTCAGTAATTTTTTTAAAATACTAAACTTATTTCCATTAACAGCAACATGTGTATTTGTTCAATTGTTAAGTCAACACGGGAAATCATATCTGGAGTTAGGACTTGGAGGCCTATCAAACACTTTCTTTCAAGATCAGTGTCCAATACACTTACATCACCTTTAAGTACTATACACAACACACACTGCACTCGAGAAACACATCACACAATGCATTAGGGGAAAAACAAATTTGAAATTTCAATTGATCGCTTTATTGATCCTATTTTACTTTACTGGAAGGAGGAATCTATATTTCTTGCAAACTAATTGATGGGTAGTTGGATACCAGCACCAGCATGTTTTGTTTAGACACTGCATTCTGCTGGAGAAGTTAAATGATAACTTAATTAATGACTACTTTGGAGAACAGTGGATTGGCCCACACAGTCCACTGCAATGGCCTGCAATATCCCCTGATCTTACTCCATTATTTCTATTTTATATATTTGAAAGATTACGTATATGAAATGCCAGTATTGGATGTCACAGATCTTCAAAGACATTGTTATAGCTTGTCAAACACTAACTGTGGACATGATTTCCTCTGTTTACAACTCAGCAGTTGAACAAATACACACATTTTGCTGTTAATGGAGACAGATTTGCTCAACAACGTATGAAAGGAAGCATTGTTTAAATAAATCTGACAGTTATTTCCGTGCTTGATAAGCATGATTGTTAATTTGCAGCGAGAGACGATTATAGATGATAAATATGTAAAATTATGTTTAAAATATCCAGTTTTCTTTTTATTGATCACATCACGAATGTTTCATCTGCATAGAACCATCATTATTATTTTAAAATTTAATCTTTTCTTTTTTTTAGGATGTATATAAGTTTTGTGGACGTGGACAAATCAAACGTGGGATACGTAGGAAAAACATTCCACGACATCCTGTGATTTCTACTTTCCAGTCAGAGTTTTACGAAATACTTTCAAAACATGTTTCGTAGAATATCTTATATTTTGAAAAAGAATGATATATAATCAAAATCTATGGTGTAAAAGAATCATGTTTAAATTGAATGTTTTAATAAAGAGATCTTTCCAATTTTGTATACGTATCCGATGCATATGATCCTATGATAATTTTACTGTTAGGTTACTCCTGAATATAATAGAAAAATGACGGGGAATTTTATAAATTAATATAAAGATATATTTTCTGATTCTACATATCATTACATAATGCGGATTGGAACTCCAAGAGCGAGAGGAAAGTCTGAGGAAGAGTTGCAGACATATCAAGCAAATGACATAGAACTAAATTGTAGGCTAATGACGGAATCCAAGTTTCTTAAAATTTGTGATGCAATTAGATTTGAATGTTTCATACATTCAGATCATGCGTGATTTGAGTCAGGTCTTTCAGCTTTGCAAATAATTGAAGATGGCCATCATTCCTCTTCATTTGCTCTTAACAATTACACTGCAATCGAGCTTCTACGTAATTTGCAAAATTTGAAGTTAATCTATATTACGATGAACAATCAACATAAATAATTCATTTCATATTATCTTAGAGCTGTATGATCAATATACTTTGGACCAGGTTTAAATTAAGATCTTTCATCAGATTCCGTAATTTATCAAGAGAAGTACGGATTAGGGCATCATAGTTCATTCTTTGCCTACGCAGGCCAACAATTTGTTAATAAAAACATTTCGTGTCATTCTAGCTAATGTCTAAAGGATAATTGATTTTGATTTCTTGAAGTTTCAATGCTGCATGTTTTATAGTTTTCATCAGTATTACCTATTACAGACAGGCCTGATCCCACAATAGACATAATGGCGTCGAATAACTTCCAGAATATCCGGATCAGATTATAATGGAATTTGCATTTATCTGAAGATCCTGGTTCAATGCATCCAAAGAGAATCAAATGATCCAGCACCGTTTAAGTACTATAAATGGAGCATTGAAAAAATAATTGCTTTATGATTATCACAAGAAATTATAATTTCAAAAAAAAAAATCAAGGAAATGTGCATTTCCTTTGAGAATGAAGAGAATCTGAAAGGAAATGCACATTTCCTTCCTTTTTTTTTCGTGTAAATAATGTCCATTCATATATTAAATTGCACAGGATGTGGAATTATTTTTAGAAGTTTTGTGTTACTGTGGAAAGTTCAAACTAACTATTCTTTAACAACTTATTATTTAACATAGAACATATCTATAGTTTGTATTTAGTTTCTTCATCTAAGCATATTACTGTAAAGAATTTTTAAGCAGAAAATATACTGGAACTACAATTCAATTCCATTTTTATTTGGTTTGGTACACTGTAATGCCCAGTAAAGAAAACCTAACAAGACAAACTAATACAAAGTATCAAGTAATTGTAAAATATATATATATATATATAAACAGATTTACCAGTGTTGTTGCATAATAGTAGTAGTAATGTGAAAAAAAATAGTAAAAATAAAATATAAAAACACATACTAAACAAAAATATCTGGAGCTACAACGAAAACCCTCTAACCCGTTTCTCAAAGTGAAAAAGAATCTGTAGTCACAAAGGTTTGTCGGATCTGCATTTCGGCAGTGAAATTTGCAGAGATTTTGAGTAATGTGAGGGAGGAATGGCCGCCAGTGCATCTTCTATTGATGTCCTTCAACAAGAATGCCTTAGCTTAACAACGAGAATTTCTGCATCCTCCCGAAGCTGTACTTGGTCACGATTGCTTGGTTTTTCTAACAAGTCATCTAAACTTCCTGCCATTTAATTTTCTTTCTATATTGCTTTGTCTATTATCTATTGATTGAGAAAATCTGTTGCAACATTGTATGTATAATACCTGGATTCAATCTTGAATTCCTAAAAGTGTTAGGCTAATTTAGAAAATGCTTACACTTCATTTGTTTTGTAAAAATTACAGCTGTATTTTGTATTGCACCAAAGTAATATAGGTATGTCCCGAAGCAACTTCTGTCGGTATAATGGCTAATGGTTGTCAAAATTTCATTAGACACACTCTTAGAACTTCTCCCCATCTCTACAAATCTCACACAGCTGAAATATTTACAATAATTAATAAATATTAATACGTCCTGCAACCTCCAAAATATTAAAATAATTTAAACATATCGTTCGACACATTTCATATTCGAATTATACTGGTCAAAAGTCTGAAGAAGACCGTGAATATGGTCAAAGACATTAGTTTTATTAAAATCTTTATCGTTACTGGGATATAATAAGGTTCTTGTGTGTTGATTATCCTTCCCAGTGCTTCTGAGAGAGGTTGTTGAACTCCAAAATTGAGTTGAAAATTTAAAGAAAAAAAAATTAAGTTAGATAAANACACAGCTGAAATATTTACAATAATTAATAAATATTAATACGTCCTGCAACCTCCAAAATATTGTGGCCAGATGGCCACAATTTTAAGATAATTTAAACATATTGTTCAATACATTTCATATTCGAATTATACTGGTCAAAAGCTTTAATAATCGGGTGTATGAAGAAAAACTTCATACTTGCAGACTTCGTACCTGTTTGTATCCTTGCCCAATTTGCACAACCCGCATAATGCAATTATCGAAGCTACTGAGCATGGTTAAAAATTAAGACGGCATTGGTGCAATTATTCAAGCTATTACGAGTAAAGAATTTTCAGTGTTATGCCACAAGTAGGCTACATATTGATTACAGTATTAACAATCTGTGACGAGTAATAAGTAAAAATTTAAACCTACTTATTAGCTTTTTAAAAATTAATAAATACAAATGTATTGTGACAGTTTGAGTTAAAATTGATGAGATTTTGCAAATAGAAAGTGTAATCTTAACACAAAATATGCAAAAAGTGATCTAAGAAATTTGTGGGATTTCCTGGGTTAAAAGAAAAAAGGGGGTCCCATTTGAGAAACCCTAGTGTCATCCTTTCTCTCCTCTATTCTCGGGCCAAGCTATTCCTTCCCTTTCGTGACCCCTCAGTTCTCCGAATTCTTAACAATTGAAGATGTGGAGTTAATGGGGAGGGGTGCTAATGAGTAGCAGATTTTAAACTCTGCTTACAACTAGTGCAAATACCAACACGTGCGTGTTAAGGTTACAGCTAATTCACGTGTTTGTGGATGTTCGTATTAAGTTCTCATTTATAAATTTATTGACAAGACTATGTCTTGTTTATAAAATCGTACTGCAGTTTTGTGTGATTAGTGTAGAGGTATAAAGGAGTACATGTCGAGAGTTGATATTTGGCAGAGTACTGTATTAGATGCCCAAATCATTTGCACATAAAAAAAATGCAGACTTGTAGGTAGTAATGGGACCGAAAACCGAGTCAAAATAAAATACAAAATGGCGACCCTCTTCTACAAACAGGCAAAAACCTGACCCCGCCGAAGTCAGGTGGAGGAGAGTACAGTACCACCCACGGTCATTCTAAGAAGTGAACTCTGACCTTAGGACTGAACACGTAGTTTCACTTCTATGTTAAATAAAATTTGTAATCTAATTTCGTAAATTTGGGAGTGCTTCAAATATGATGTTAAAACGGTTTTATGTCGTTACAAGTGGGTGATTTTAACATTATCTAGTATAGTAAAATCGTGGGACCGTTAAAAATTTGAGGTTATGTTAGGGTTTTTTTTAAACTCTTTCCGCCCTGTGGGCACTAACAGGGCCTCTTTTAGCAAGCCCATTATGGGTTCGGCCAGGCCCACAATGGGGCTGCCGGGTGGTGAGGGACGGGGCCGAATGGAACACCCCCCGAAGAATTCATGGGGATTTTTCGACCCGTTCGGATTCGAGCCCGGGTCTCCCAGGGCGATGGGCTGCCGCCTTGACCGCCATTATATTAGGGACGATACAGTAGCCACGATTTTTTTTTCAAAAACGGGAAATTTTCGTTACGAATCGACAAAAATTCAACCCGGCCCGACACGCAACGGAGAGAAATTTCGAAATTGGATAGGTTAATTTCATCGAAAATGCATCGTGGCCGGCGAAGTTTGAACTATTGCGCCCAAAAGCAGCGATACCAAAGAAGATTGGAGAACGAGACCCGCTTTGAGCGTCAAAGTGATTTCGCTTAGTAGGGAGTCTCCGAGACAGCCTTGTCCCAAATACGGTTTTGCCGTTTTAAGAGACAATCATGCTGTATTGATGACTTATGTAAGATATATTGACAATGATGAATTCAATGAAGAGATGACGTTCTGTGAAACATTGAAAACCACAACTACTGCCATTGATATATACAATAAGCTAAAAATATATTTAGATAAAACTCAAATACCAATGAAATAATATAACATCGTGTGCTGCAGATGACGCTCGTGCTACGATGGGCAAGAAACGCGGTTGTTTAAAACACTATTCAACATAATAAATACAATAGCGTGGCTGTGTCGAGACAGAAACAAAATACCCAATTATGATAAGTTTAGCGAGAAAATTACTTTTGTCATTTCCATCGTCGTATTTAGTTAAATGCGGGTTTAGTACTGTAAATGATTTGTTATTGAAGAAAAGAAATTAGAGAGGTTGCGGCCGACGTTTTCGTCTCTAAAACGTGAACGTCGAACGTCGAGCGTCGCTTACAAGATAGCGGCGCTCGACGTTTACGTTTTACAGATGAAAACGTCGGCCGCAACCTCGCTATTATTTAGCAATTTCTTGATGATTTTCTACACAGTACTTGAACTGTCCTTTTATTTTTCTTTTTCAAAGAAGTCATGTTTTCTGTCACGGGGGGACATTAGGATTTTAAAGATAGTTTCGTGGGGCATGGCCAGAAAAGGTTGAGAAACACTGCTCTAGACGCTTTTACAACATACTTCAACTAGTAATCATCACTCTGGCATTAGAACATAATTTTAGGCCGAATTGCTTTGCGAAATGTGACGACTAATTTGGGCTATAATAAGAATTTGGCAGTAGTTTTACAAGTTTATTAATTATTTTTTTCTATTTTAACGAATTATTTTAANACTTATTATTTAACATAGAACATATCTATAATTTGTATTTAGTTTCTTCATCTAAGCATATTACTGTAAAGAATTTTTAAGCAGAAAATATATTGGAACTATA